GAATTTAGATCTATGCAGAACTCGTCAGCATTCTTTTAGTTTCTTATTTTCTACATTAACACAGCCATATTTACACAGTGGAGGCAAGACAAGGCAGTGGATAAGTTTGGTGTGGTATTTGTTCTTATGGGATCCCCCGGTGGCACAGTGGGTTTAACCGTTGAGCTGCTGAACTTGCTGAGGTGACTCTTGTGAGAAACATTATTCATATATCTCTGTTCAAAGTGTATGGTGGAAGCCGAACCACTGGACCCTATAATATAGGAATACTCAACATATAGAATCATAGAGTTGGAAGAGACCTCGTGGGCCATCCAGTCCAACCCGCTGCCAAGAAGCAGGAAAATCGCATTAAAAGCACCCTGGACAGATGGCCACCCAGCCTCTGCTTAAAAGCCTCCAAAGAAGGAGCCTCCGCCACACTCCGGGGCAGAGAGTTCCACTGCTGAACAGCTCTCACAGTCAGGAAGTTCTTCCTAATGTTCAGATGGAATCTCCTTCCTTGTAGTTTGAAGCCATTGTTCCATTGCGTCCTAGTTTCCAGGGCAGCAGAAAACAAGCTTGCTTCCTCGTCCCTATGACTTTCCCTCACATACTTATACATGGCTATCATGTCTCCTCTCAGCCTTCTCTTCTTCAGACTAAACATGCTCAGCTCTTTAAGCCACTCCTCGTAGGGCTTGTTCTCCAGACCCTTGATCATTTTAGTTGCCCTCCTTTGGACACCTTTCAGCATGTCAACATCTCCCTTCATATGTGGTGCCCAGAATTGGACACAGTATTCCAGGTGTAGTCAAACCAAGGCGAAATAGAGGGATAGCTTGACTTTCCTGGATCTAGACACTATGCTCCTATTGATGCAGGCCAAAATCCCGTTGGCTTATTTTGCCACCGCATCACATTGTTGGCTCATGTTTAACTTGTTGTCCACGAGGACTCCAAGATCTCTTTTTCACACGTACTGCTCACGAGCCAGGCACCCCCTGGCTCGAGAGCAGTTATGTTTGTGTCATTGTCCTCTGATTCAAACTGATTTATTTCATGTGTAATTTCAGAGTACTTACACTGCAGTTTAGGAACTGGCATGGTATAGTGATGTGAGTATAGGACTAGGACTCCAGGAGATCAAGGTTTGAATCCATGCTCAGCTGTAGGAATACACCTAGTGATCTTAGGCATGTTACACTGTCTCACCCTGGAAGGTGACAACAGCAAATGCTTCTGCATTAACCAAAACACAGACTTATGCAGTGGAGAAAATAATAATAATAATAATAATAATAATACTTTATTTATACTCCACCACCATCTCCCCAAGGGGACTCGGAGCAGCTTACATGAGGCCAAGCCTGACAACACATCAATAGAACAAAAAACAATAAGCAAGAACAATACAATTAATATAACTCACATGTAAACAGTAACACACAAGGATATAAAAAACCTATGGCCGGGCCAAATGTAATAATTTTAAAATGTAAAAAATAAACGCTGGGCATGTAAAAACCATGTAAAGATTCTGGTAATGCATGTATTTCAGGTTTTGAGATAAATTTTAAAGCAAATAGGTGCTTCCTGTACTTCTGTAGTCTTCTTCTCCTGTCTGGAATTCTCAGTTCCCTTTCCTTGATTGGTATTATTTTGCTCAAGTTAAACAAGGACTGGCAGGCTTGTGTCACTGTTCTTTGATGCAAACTGAAACATGAAGCAAAGCTTGTCTGCAAAATCAGCAGAACATTTTGTAGCCTCCCAGGTGTTATTGGACTGCAGCAGTCAGGAGACTCTGCCCAAATAGCCAATGTAGAATTTTTAAAAGGTTGCACTGAGGGGCAAAGTTCACTCACATTTGCACAAAACCCATTCCCACTGCATTTCCCTGAGACCATAACCAACTGGTAGTAAAGCTCTTAGTGTTACGATTTTTTTAATTTTCATCACAACTTGAGGCAGTTTTCAGTACTGAGCCCAGATCCAGTTGAGTGAAGATGGAACCTGTGTTGTATCAAACCCACTTGAAAGTCAGTCCCCATATGGAACCATGAAGGAGTGGGCAATGAGTAGTATGCCAAGGACTGTGCGCTTATCAGAGCTTGTTATGGGAGGATGCGGTAATGGGCAACCAGTGCCATGCCCAGTTGTGGGGCATGTGGCTCTGTCTCATTCCTACCCTTCAGGGGAACCATGCAATGACTATGTGGAATCCAGCATCTGTTACATTTTTATATATATATATATATATATATATATATATATATATATATATATATGCAATAATCTGATTCAATGAGTCCAGTTAGTTGAGTGGAGTCCCCAGTGGCGCAGTGGGTTAAATCCTTGCACCAGCAGTACTGCTGACCGAAGGTCAGTGGTTCAAATCTGGGGAGTCAGGTGAGTTCCTGTTTGTCAGTTCCAGCTTCCCATGCGGGAACATGAGAGAAGCCTCCCACAGGATGGTAAAACATCTGGGCATCCCCTGGGCAACGTCCTTACAGACGGCCAATTATCTCACACCAGAAGCAACTTGCAGTTACTCAAGTTGCTCCTGACACAAAAAAAAAAAATGTCTCGGCTCTCAAAGGGAAAGAGAAGACAGAATGATCCAGCCTCAAACAGTTGTTTGTTTGGTTTAAAAAAAAAAAAACAAAAAAAAATTGTAGAGCCATTTGATGCTGATTTTCCCTTCCTTCCTTCCTTCCTTCCTTCCTTCCTTCCTTCCTTCCTTCCTTCCTTCCCTTCCTTCCTTCCTTCCTTCCTTCCTTCCTTCCTTCCTTCCGTTTACATAACCTGGAATGGTGTTCTTTGAAGGAAGGAAGGAAGGAAGGAAGGAAGGAAGGAAGGAAGGAAGGAAGGAAGGAAGGGAGCCAAGTTCCAAAGATCTCCATTTCAGGTTTTTTTAAACTGCCTTGCCTCAGAAGGAGGAGAAAGGAGTGAAAAGTAGAACTTCAGAGATCTCAATTTTATAATTTTAAAATTACCTTGTCTTTGGAGTAAGAAGGGAAAATCAGCCCCAAATGGGGGTGTGACTATTATGCGAGGAGCACAAAAATGCCAATTTGGTGCCCAAAAATGGGGGTCATAATAGTCACTTCTGTGGCGACTATTATGCAATAAAAAATGCTATCTCCATGCCAAGAATATTTCTTCTTCAATCTGCTGCCACTCAAAAACTCTCCAAAAATCCAACCCTTCACTGATTGTTTAAGCCTCTCAAGACCACCACTTTCTTGTTCTGCATCCTCCCCCCGTCAGTTTCTGTTTGTCAGTTTTAATCATGAATTTAAACTTGCACCTTGTGTTCACTATATTTTAATCTTTGTTCTGTGTATTTCAATGTGTGTATTTTGTAGAAATACATGTATTTTATATAATCTTTATGATGATTTAAGTGTTTTTAGCTATGATGTAACCCACCACAAGGAGAGGCAGGTGAGGAATAAAATAATAATTATCATCTACAATAAACAATGCAATAAACAAAGCCTAAGTTGAGTAATCTTAAAATAGAAAAAGCTATGCCTAGATGCAAGTTTTCAAGTGATCTCTAGAAAGTTCAAAATATTTTTACTTATGCAAGGCTTACCTGACCTAGTTGTTTAATATCTCCATATTGTTAATTTTACTGAAACATGTTGAATGGCTCATTATTTGTGTGGTGTAAGAATCCATATTCTGTGTTATTTCTCCATCCAGTACCATTTTGTTGGTTTTGGCATCTGTTTTATTAACTGAGGAATACCTCAATGTGTCTGTATTGCTACAGGCCTGCAGAACTAGAGTAATTCTAGTTATAGCTTTGATTACAACCGGAAGTTTAGCTAGTTATGAGATGGGTTGCTGTGCAACCCAGTGCTTCCAGCCATGAAAGCCTTTGACAGCACTGTTATGTTTGTGATATGAAGGCAGTTTGCTGAATCTGAACTACTCAAGTGTCAAAGTGTTTCACCAGCATAGATTTCCGTAATAGAACTTGACCTTATTTTGGGACTGCTGTAACACAAGCCTCATTGCATCCTGTTTTGGGGGGGGGGGTCTTTTATTCGTGGGGCCATAGGCTGCCGTCTACTTGAGGGTACTTAACAATGTACTCTACATTGGGCTGCTTTTGTAAACTGTCCATGTATCCCCTCCCATTGTTCTGATTTGACAAGGACAGTCCTGATTAATCCTGTCATCCCATGTCCCATTTTCTCTCTCTCTCTTCCCACTTCTCTGTGGCTTACTTCAATTGCTGTATACTGAATTCAAAGTACAAAAGTAGCTTGCACTAAATTAACTCAGCAAGAGGAAGGGAATGGGCAAGATCTTGCTCTTTCCACTAGGTTTGAGCAAAAGCATACTGGTACAAGCTCTTCTATAGTTTTTTTCTTCCACATTATTGACTTTACCACCTTGACTATGCTCTGATAATGTTCTAGCTTTCAGGAGGGTATGGAAATGCTGCAGTTCGATTGCTGATTGCCTTACAGCAGTGGTTCTTAACCTGTGTACCGCAGACCACCAGTGGGCTGCGAGGACGATAATCTGCTCCGCAGTCTCCTTCCTCTTTATTTATTTTTTATTTCCGCTCCTTTTGTGCCGCCTGCCACTCCTTCCCTGTCGCTGACCATGGCATATGTTCTGTATCAGAAACTAGAGCTGATATGGTCTATCCAATGCAATTTTCTGAATCAGCACCCCAAGCCGAATCTAAAGTTGACCAAAAACTGATTCGTAACCCTTTTAGTACTAATGTGGGAGAGTGGTCCCTGGTGAAGTAGCCCCTGGTCAAAAAAAGGTTGGGAACCACTGCCTTACAGGAAACACATAATTCCCTTGTTGCTAGAGGTCCACTATTGTTCTGTTTCTAGGCACAATTCGAAGTACTGATTCCAACAAATCTGTATTTGGCTTAGGTGCAGAATATTGACCTGTACTGTAAACTAACTTAAACCTCATGTTGGGAGAAGTGCAGGACATTTAATAAAGAAACATGATAGATGTCAAATGATAGATATATGCACTCCACAAAGAAACACAAGACTTTTATTTATGAATACATAATAAATAAATGACAAACAATGCAAGGAGGATAACGTTTAGAAAATACAGATATCTAAAGTGCTTCTGGACATCAATATAAAAAGGGTAGGGGAGTCAGGAGGAATCAAAACATTAACACTTTTACAGACATATTACAAAATATTTTCCTATGACATTTTACAAAATAGCATTATTTTATTACTGTTTTCTATGGCTTGGTTTCCCTCCATAAATGTTTGAGTTCTATTATGCATAGCATAGCGAGTAACATTCAAATATGTAGAGTTATTGCATATTTTTCCCCAAACAAAATTTTGCAGCTGCACCATTCAATTCATTTTCTCACACTGAAGCCAGCAGTGAAGGGGAGAACTCCCTAACTGTAAATGTGCCACACAACACACCCTGATGCAGCATCTACAAAACAAATGAAGGGCCCCTGATACAAACACATCATTTGGTGCAAGAAAAACTCCCAATGTGATCATTTGTTCTGCTCTGTATATATGCTGAGGTTTTCCTGAGTTTCCTGAAGGTCATGAAATCATTCAGACCCACCAACACCAGCCATCAAAAAAGGCAGCTGTTAGTTTCATGTATAATTCCATGTGATATCTGGGTATTGGGGAAAATGCCCTAATCAGGGGTGGGAATTTTGAAGCCAACATGCCAATGGCAAGGAATGCCAAGAATTTCTATTCCATAACATCTGGAGTGCAAAAAAAAAATCCTACTCCTGGCCTATAGAAGGTAAAGGTTTCCCCTGATGTGAAGCCTAATCTAGTCGTGTCTGACTCTGGGAGATGATGTGCATCTCCATTTCTAAACTGAAGAGCCGGTGTTGTCCGTAAACATCTCCAAGATCATGTGGCCAGCATGACTGCATGGAGTACCATTACCTTCCCACAGAAGCGGTACTTATTGATCTACTCACATTTGCATGTTTTCAAAATGCTAGGTTGGCAGAAGCTGGGGCTAACAGCAGGAGCTCATCCCACTCCTTGGATTCGAACAGTCAACCTTTCATATCAGCAAGTTCAACAGCTCAGCAGTTTAACCCGCTGCACTACCAGGGGACTCCTGGCATGTACCCTGCCCTTAATCCCAACAACAGTAGATCAACTGAACTAACAGAACTCATAGATGTTGATTTACCAAGTTCCTATTGATTTAACAAATCCATCCTAATTGAGATTAACAATTAGAATTTGCACAGTTTACACTGTTCCGCTGCAATTCGCCTTGAAAATCATTCATTGATTCAATTTATACCCTGCCTTTCTCTTGCCATGGGATCCAAGACAGCTTACAATTAACCAATTCAAGTGAGTACAAGCAGAAAGGTATCAGAAATTATGTGAATCTATCTGGTATACACAGCCTGCCTTTTCAAAGATGATGCCGTCCAGATGGGATGAAACTTCTTGTTTTTATTATTATCATTGATCATGATGACTGGAGACGGGATGTACTGAATTGAGGTGTGGAAAGGCCAACACATACGAATGGGTGGCCAGATGGAGTTAATCCAGCTCCCAAAGCAGAAGTGGACACACTGTGGCCCTCCAGATAGTAGACTGCAAATCCCATCAGTCTTAGCCATCATAGCCAACAGAGAGGGATGAGTTTAAGCTCAACACCATCTGGAAAGCCAAATGGTGAACATCATTGGCTTAGCAGATTCTGTCTCTGTGCCAACAAATTTTAATCAAGCTATATACAAGGAGCATTGTTTACTGTTTTGTTTTATATGAAGAGTAAGAAAAAATTGAGTATTTTGGCTACAAAGTGTCCATTTTCAAAGCCCTTTTATGCAAAAGGCAAAGATAACAATGCTACACAGTTTGGTACCTCTTGTGAGACCTCTTTCCCAGACTCCACAGTGAAGTTTACATTGCCTCCAACAGTACAGAGGAAAGCTCTTCCTGTTCTACAGTAGCAGCTAATATCAGAAGCAGCTTATATACAAACATTAAAAATGTAAATTTATGATAAAAATTCCTTAATCCTTGATCAAATAATTACACTGTGACCACCTCTTGAAAACTGTGAACTTTCTCAAGCTATGGACAAATTTTGTCTCTATGGGTTTGAGCCTAATAACAAACTTGTTGGACCATGGATTGTAGAACCAAGAAATCCTTCTAATTCAGAAGGATTAACATCTCTGAAAACAAAACCAAAATCAGTTTTATAATTATCATCTCTTGGCTTAGTTTAGGAGACACACCGTCAAAACTAATGTGCACCTCATATTTGGCTATGTAATTCAGCAAAAAAAGTGAGCATTAGATTTGAGGAAATATGGTACTTCTAGAGTTATGTGGGTTTTCTGTTACAGGAGGGAACATTATTAGCATTTTCTGGAGCTGCTAATAAAAGGTGACTTAGTGTGACATTTGAAAGGGAGGAGAATTCAACTACACCTATGTATTATCTCAATTACATATAAAGAACTTTAAAGATGAAAAAATAAATAGTATCTTGGGCAGGTCCCATCTGCATGTAAAATGCATTAACCTAGCAGGAAAAAAATACTAATAAATATTAATAAATATTCACATTTCCAAACAATGGAGAGGTTTCCTTATCTCATTTTGAGTCTGTGGTTCATACCTACCCTCTACCCACCACCCTGTGCTGCCAATGTCCCACACTTAGCGCTCACTTTCTTTTATTTTGGGATGTGATGCTCCACTCAGACTCTGTCTCAAAGTGCTGCTCTTTTTCTCCTGCTTTGCAGTGCTGGAAAGATCCATTGCAATGTCTTCAGAATTGTCCATGGCACTGAATTTGTCAGTGGAATTTTGCTCCTGTTCTTCTGGCTTAATTTTTAATTCCTCTTCAGGGAGCTCAGATTTCCAGACAACATTACCCTTTTCCTCATTTTCAGACTTCCTTGGAACATCAACTGACTTCTTATGCATTCCTTTATAAAATAAGATAAACAGATGGCAATACTGATTACATCTTGATCTGACAGACAAGATTGGTATTATTATTATTATTATTATTATTATTATTATTATTATTATTATGTTTATTTATACCCTGTTTTTCTCTCCACAAAGGACACTCAAAGCGGCTTTATCTGACCCAAAAGACATTGCTATTAATACCTATTTAAAACTATGGATGGGAAACATGTCTAGTGATGGTTAGTAGCTTCCATGTCAGTGAAAGTTGTGATCTAATCTGGGTGTTGTGGATATCTATTTAGCAGTGAAAACCCAGTCAAGAATCCTCTTTAACTGTCAAAGGTGAAAGCTCACATATACTTGAAAGGAGCTAGGTAGCATTTCAACTTTCACTGTGCTATCCTACTGTATCCTGGGATTTGTAGTGCGGTGTGGTCCTTACAGATGTCTGGCAGAAATAATGTGAAGTACCTTGCCAAATTACAAATCCTAGTACTGCATAGGATGGAGCCAGGACAATTAAAGTGGCAAGTAAATGTTTATGACTGTAGCATAAATGTATTGTAAAGGTTAAATAACATTGGACTAAATCCAACTGCTAGTCCCAACAAGAATAGCCTCACTAAATCATCAAGCAAGACTATTCTAGTCTATCATCATCACTATTATTACCACCACTACTACCGTTTTTCCCCAGTACACCATTCAAGTTCAGCATACAAAGGTCAAAACAGATACAGCATTAAAATTGGGATTTAAATGTTGACTTAATAATTGCTTTGATGCATCATCTTTAGGCAGTACTAACAACTGGATTTAGGCCATTAATTGTAAGAATTATGAAACATTTCTATTGCGCATACTTCCCATTTTTCTCAATGAACTTGTGTCTAAGAAGAGTATACAAGGAGAGGAATGTAACAAGGGGAAAGGAAAGGAAGTGCTTTGCAGGCAAAAGATTCATTTCAAACCTTGGCATTTCCAGCAGGTTTCAAATATGACCACCACCACTGAATTATCTCACTTCCAGTCCCAGTGTTAAGAGGACCTAGAGATCCTTAGAGATGTATCCTTTCTAGGAATTTGCTAGGTTTTCCCATATCCAGTGTGTATATACAGAGGAGAATAAGTAAAGACATGAATGTGGGACCAAGCCTTTGGGCAGTAAGCAAAGCAAAAAATGTACAGGATTATGTGCAATTGACTCTTTGAAAGGCCTCAGACCTCAGCTTCTGGATTTGTGATTTTAATATGGTTTAATTTAATTTATAGTTAGATGTTATAGTTGCTTTTATACTAGGTTTTTTATATGTTGTAAGCATTAAATTTTTGCTGGAAACCACTTTGAGTCCCCCTGGTGAGAAAAGAGGTATATAAATCAAGTAAATAGTGGTCAATCTAGTATGGCACTGACAGGCAGCGCCTGCTTAGGGTTTTAGAGCAGAAGGAAGACAGCAGGTCAAGAGTTTAGAATTTAGCACTTTATATTCCAAGACAGTGTGTATATTTTAGTTGATGAATTGCATTGTATATTTGCAGTTGATTTTGGTAAGGCACACCTGCTTTGTTTGTTTTTTTAAAGTAAAAAGGATACCTCATTCTTGTACACAATGGAATCCAGTGATTTAATTGTGTCAGTAATATTGTTTGATTCTCTAAGATCTGTGGTTTCATGTAACCATAGTCCAGCTGGAAATGTATCTCCCTGCTGATATGGGGGTTTTGTTGGACTTGGTAACCCCTATTCATCTCTTCTGTATTAGAGATAACTAATCATATGAGAAGGAGCATACGTTAGTCAAAACTCTTTTCCCATACTCTCCATGTGAACAGAGAAACCATCTGAAGAGGAGAACATCTGTTGTACATGGAAATGCACCACACAGGTTTTACAGTCCAAATCTCCACCTTATTTCCCTGAGAGGATATGGTCCACAGGCCATCACTCTCCATATGCGGAGATCAACAACAACACTTTCCTCCTGGTTATAAAATGCATAGGGGAGAATTCAAGTGGCTTTCCAGATCCTGTTGGACTATAAGTTCTAGAAGCTCTAACCAGCAAAGCCAATTGTGAAGAAAGTTTAGAGCTGAAGCTCAACAACATTAGGAAGGGAAGTTGTTTCCCACCCCTGATACGGTGCTAGAAATGAACCTAGGAAAGCAGTTTCTATATTAATTAGGGTTGAGCCATTCATAGAGTGAGGTGTCCACTTACCAAGCAGCCAAGGGGCACAGGAGCCCACAAGCCCATTTTTGGCAGAGTTGATGATTGATTCTGGTAGTGGGATGGAGTGCCTCACCATGGCTCCGTAGAGGCCATATTCAGCCATCACACTGCTGCGGCCCCAGCACTTCTCACGTTTCCGCCACTTTGCTCTTCGGTTTTGAAACCAAACCTTTTGGTTCCGAAAATGAGTGCATTTTTAAGAATAGACTATATGCAACTATGTAGATTGAGAGGAAGCTATTACATCAAGAACACCTAAGTATATTCGCATCCAGATGTGAACAAAAGGTAGATTCAGATCCACTGGCGAATCTCTTTGTGATCTGAATTAGACTGCCAAGTCATTTCTAATTCAAAGTAACTTCAAAATAGCAAGTAATTAAAGAGCTAATATTGCACTACTTCCTTAATCTCAGTATTCCTTAAATATAAAATAGAAGTATGGATTTATTATTTTCGTTACTTTTATATCCTGCCTTTCCTCAAAAAAGATGCATACAAGTCTATATTTCTCCCCATTTTTTCCTTGAGCAAAAACCCTGGGTGGCAGATTGAACAGGTCAAGGTTTCATGACTCAATAGGGGACTTGAACCAGGATGACCAATGCTTAAATTTCTGGCCACCAATTTTAGAGTTTTGTTTAAAAATCTTTGATCATTAGTAACTCAGATGTAGGTTTGTATATATTCTTGACTCATGAATTGCAGTAGGCAATTGATCCTAAACTACCATTTTGCTCCTGGTTATGATTAGGCAATCTCAGATTAAAACAAACCAGTCAAAGTATGATACCAAAACATGAAATCTGTCCACCACTGAGGTCTAAGCAATATCCAGTTTTTCAATTGGCTGGAGAACTGGACACAGCTTTTGTCTGAAATTATTATTATTATTATATCCATTTATATGCTGCTTTTTGCCTGGAGCCCCAAGGGGCTCACAGGAAACCTAAGGCAGCTCACAAAAGAAATTAACAGCTTTTCCATTTTATTTCTAATAACTCTAAAACACCACAACTTTCCTTCCCATACACACTCGGTATCAAGTGAAGATGCTGCTTGAAAAAAAAAACCCTATCCATTGCTACTTCTGTAATTTCTACCCCCACCCTATCTTGTTAGATCACTTTTTATATTAACAGCGGTTTGTCACTTGGTTCTCAAATAAGAGTTCAAATTAAAATATTTTGAAGTAGGGGTGGATAACCCAAACATTCAAATACCCAAATGTTCATTTTCAATTTTTAAAAAATCACTTCGAATTTTGAAAAACATGTACCAAAATAGTGTTCAAACTGTAACAGCTGTGTAGAACCATTAAGGAATTTGGTCCACCAATATCTGGATGGCTACACATGGCTCACTTTTGGGCAAAGGGATTTCTGTAAGATCCTTAGGCCCAATGTTAAAAGAAAAGTAGGGTGAGGTTAAGTGAGCCCATGATGCAATTTCCACACACATTCTCATAAACCACCATGAGTGACACTATCTCTAGAAATGAAACCAAACCTGGTCAGTAGTCCAGTTTTGATTTCATACATAGTCTTTTCAGGAGAGCTTTAATTTGTTTTAAAAGGGAAATTGCCACTCTTTTTAGAAACACTATAACAGGAGATACAAGTGGATCCTGGGTACAAAAAATAATCAGGGCTATATGTTGCATGATGCAAACTCTCCAGTCTAAATTAGCTTGTCCATTGTTTGCAAGCGACAACCCTTTTAACAACACTTTTCCCACACAAGTCAAAGGAAATGTCAATTATTGACTGCAAGTAGCATCAATTGAATGCTACTTGCAATCCTATAGTTCAGCAAGCTAACGCAGTTGTTTCTACCACACACATTTTTACAGTGCTGAATTAGAATCAGATGGCTAGAAGATTATCCATTCCAGGCTCATGCACTATACTGTGGCTGGATTTGCGAAGATAAATTCATTCCTGAGATATATTTATCTAGGCTCTCCTAAACCCCATTGGTGTCAGCTTCAATGATCACCATTCTCTGTGGAAAGCCATGGAGGAGGAAGTTCCTCAGGTGACACGCAATCACATCCACCGAGACATTAGGGACTATACCCTGTTAAGTGCCTCAGTTTGGACATTTGTGTGAAATGGGAATCATAGAGTTGGAAGAGAGCACAACAGCCATCCAGTCCAATTCCTAGTCATGCAGGAACACACAATTAAAACACTCCTTACTGATGGCCATCCAACCTATTTAAAAACCTTCAGAGAAGGAGTCTCGATCACAACTCCTAAGCAGCAGAATATTCCACTGTTGAACAGTTTTTACTGTCAGAAAGATGTTCTCATTGTTTAGATGGAATCTCTTTTCTTGTAGTTTTAATCCATTATTTGGAATCTTACTCTCTGGAGCAGCAGGAAACAAGCCTGCTCCACCTTCAATATTGTTTCAAATATTTGAACATGACAGTCTTGTATCCTCTTAACCTTCCCTTCTCCAGGCTTAACATAATCAACTTCTTAAGCCACTCCAGATAGCACATTGTTTCAAGATGTTTTACCATTTTGAACACAGCATTCAAGTGAGCTCTGGCCAAAGCAGAATAAACAGAGTGGGACCATGACTTCCCTTGATAAAAACATTATACTCGTATTAATGCAAGCTAAAAGTTCATTGGCTTTTTAAGCTGTTGCATCACACTGTTGGTTCATGTTCAGCTTTTGATCTTCCAGGACTCCTAGAGCCCTTTCACATTGTAAAACTTCAAGGCACACTAAAGTACAGTAGACTCTCAGTTAACAAGCAGCCACGGGGTTTGGTAGATGCCAGATAAATGTAGTTTCTGGTTGCTTGACATCCACTATTAAAAGCATGCCTAACTAATACTATAACCCATACTATACCATACCATAAACTCTGTATTGACTTAATATTATTATTGAAATAGCATAATTAATAGCAAATGAAGACAAATAAAGATAAACTTAACAATGTAAAATAGTTTTATTGTATTATAATAAAAAAAAACTTTGTGACTGTAGTATAATTTCTTTGATTTTTGCCAGCTGCTTGAGAGTTCTGGCTGCTTGAGTTCCTGTTAATTGATAGTCTACTGTAGTAAGTCCCAACCCCATTTCCAGCCTTTACATATAGCCCTAATTTATACATATGTATTGGCACAATATGTGTGCTATAGTTATGATACTTTATCAGGCAACGTACCTGTATCCTATCCTCAGGGAGCTCCGTTTTCATAGCTAACATTTCTCTTGCATACACATCAGGATAATGAGCTTCATTGAAAGCCTTTTCCAGTTCCTCCAGTTGATGGGCAGTAAACACAGTCCTGCAGGGACAAGAAACTCATCGTCAGAATGACTATGTTGCAATTGTTTGAAGTATCAGATGCATATGCAAGGAGGAAGGAAATCTATACTAATCCAAGCAACTAGCACAAGTATTTCTTTACCACTGTTGGCTGTGACAAAATGTTCATTGGGTGCACTGTGGAACGAATGCAGTTTGACACCACTTTAACTGCCATGGCTCAGTACTATGAAATCAAAGGAGTTTAGTTTTACATAGCCTTATCTGTCAAAAAGCCCCATTGCCTCACCAAACGACAACTCCTGTGATTCCACAGCATTGAACCATGGCAGTTCAATGCTGTGATGTCAAACTGCTTTCATTCTACAGTATAGATGCACCTATGTTTCATCCAATTTTTAAAAAGCAGTTTTAGACACTATATACGCATGCAACTAGGACAATCAGGATCACTTTACCAATAGTTAAAGTGAGGCATCTTAAACAATGGATTTGTGGTGTAATTAAAGGGCAGCAAATTGTTACTTAATGTATTATTCAATTTGTGTTTTTTCCTACCACTGTCAAGGATAAGACAAGGAGCTTGTGGGATTTTCTGCCTCATTACCCAGAATAATTTATGTGCCTTTGAGTATTACGAACTTTGACCTGAGGGGGTGAAGGGCACTTTTTGCTCAGACAATGAAGTGTCTTGGGCCAACTATAGGTACAATGAATTAGCACATCATTTAATTTTCACCTCCTGCGTGAGCTGATGGCACAAGAAGTTGATGGGAACTGAAGTCTATGACAATTGTTTTGGGTGGGCACCAGGTTGAAGAAGGCTGTTCTGTTCTGAACCTGAGATGGCCTCTTGCCATTTTACCCAAATATTTTTCATTGCCTTGTACTAGGTGTCAAGTTAACTATGAACAATTTGTGACCCACAATGTTAATGAAGCCCACTGTGCAGAGTTTAGATAGAGTTTCTTTAAACTGCACCTTCCAAATCCCCTAGCCAGAATGGGAGGATTCTAGGAGCTGTTGTACCCTTAAGGGAGAAATTGGGAAAACTTGTTTAAGAGATGAAAATCCGGAATAATCTGGCAGTGACTGGGTTTTACTGAAACACTGAATATTGTGAGCTTGATTTTCTTATGAAAAAATGATTTCATTCTGGATGAAGTTATTTGGTGTGTTCAGAGCTTAGGGAAATTACTTTTTTGAATGACAATTTCTAGAATACTCCCAGGCAACATGATCAGTACTCATGCTGGCAATGAGGTTATGGGATATGTAGTCCAAAAAGAAACTTTCTCCAGTCCTGGATGAATTTGTATAATACATTTGTTGTAGCCTGGTCAGATTCTGAGTGCTCAGAAGATAAGGAACTGGATGCTGGGCTAGATTCAGAGGGCCCAAGTGGCCCGCGGAGAGTTGTTTTGAAATCTCCTGGCAGTTCCCTGGAGAAAGTGATATCAGTTCTCTTGAGAATCTGCCAGAAGTACAGGCTGAGAGAAATGTGGGAGACAAATGTTTGTCCAGATTAAGGCGCTCGAAATTTCAGAGGCAAAGCATACAACAGAGACAGAATCACTTTTCCCAGAGGCTTAGAGATAAGGAGAGGAAAAGCAGGTATGTGAGGAATGATGGCTTCATGCTATCATGTTTATGGATATATCTGTGGATTGACTCTTAAGACTGTATTTGAAAGGATTTTGGACTCTTGGCTAACTTTTTGAACTTTTATTGTCCTTTTTAGACGTGCTTATTTTTATATACTCTTCTTTGAATAAACTTTTGCTTGCTGGATTACCAGGACAGAGAGTGATTTGTGTTGAAAGGGGTTTTTAGGGCTCTAGTGAAACAACTTTATCATAAAGGAATGCAAGTTAGGTGCCCCTCTCTTCCTTAAATGTGGAAGGCTGATTGTATTTAATAAAGTTCAACAAAATATATATCTATATAGATAAAAGTCAAAGTCCCCGAGTTACAAACATCCAACTTACAAATGATTTGCACTTAAAAATGGGGATTGGACAACAGGAAGTGAGAGAAATTTATCACTCGGAAGGTAAAGTTTCTCCACTGAAGCTTTCTCACCAATCCTTGTTTCATATTTTTCAAAATCCAATTATCATGGGAACAGTAAATGAGGTAAAGTCTTCTGAACACAGGCACAGACAGCAAGACAAATACCACAGGGGTATTAACCCTATCCCTGTGCTATCCAGAGCTTATATATGGCTGGAGTTACATTTTAAAAATGTACCTGTTCATACTTGCATACAATTCAACTGAAGAACAAACCTACATAATCTATTGTTCGTAACTTGGGCTCTCCCTGTATACAGTATCATAGTCAAATAAGTAAATTTCTCCAGCTCTGGGTGTATTTCTCTTTTACATTATCATAAATTATTGCTTTCTTTATACAGTATTGTAATTATTTGAGTTGAACTATTTGAAGGATTTCCTCACTCCTTAAAGCTTTCTAGGATAGATGGGGATAGTTTTGGGATTGTCTCAAGTTCCAAAATGCTCATGTATAACAAAGCACCCGAAATATACATGTGACTTACTATCAAAACATTTCTTTTTAAAACATCTATAGATCATAGTTGTTGTTTTTTTTTAAAGAAATCAAATTTATACAAGATAGAAATACAAAATGAGTGTGTGGGCATGAGAGAGAGTCACAGAGAGAAACTTTTAAGAGTAATTAATTCAGTACATGGGGAAAGGCTGGGAAGGCACTTGCTACACATCCAATATTTATATATTTTTTTACCTGTGCCGGCGTTTCTTTCTCTTGATCTGAGAGTCGGAAATCTTCAAACTGTTCTTGTCACCTGATAAACTGTCTTCATCTTTTTGTCATGTTGATGGGAGAGAAAGAGGGAAAGATACTGATCAAATCTCTTGTTCAGGTATTTTTATTCACTTTTGTTTTCATTATGTATGTATATCCTTTTAAGAATAGCAATAGTCTCACAACATTAAAATGAAGTAAACATATCAAAATAGAAGAAAAATACATAAAAACACCAGAAATTATTACAAATCAGCTATTAAAATCCACTCAGTTTTCATCACACATTAAAAATGAAGATGGGAAGTGCTGACACCTCATATTCCAATGTAGCAATGAACTTATGTCAGCTTTGTGATATCAACTTTTTCATCAGAACACTTTGATCTACAAAAAAACAGAACTAGGAAGAAAAGCATTATTGATAGAGGAATTTGTTTGGAGAACCAGAAATGAACCCTGTTCATGTTCTTTCCATGCAAAAATTCACTCTCGATTAATCAAAATCCTTCTTAATTTCAGCTGTACAGTTCTAGAGCAGCAGAAAGGCCATATTGTTGCTGTTGTTTGATAATTAGTTGTCATGATTCTTTGCCAATTTACCACCAATTACCGGTACATTCAGCGATATCTTCTGCCCACTCCTATTCTAATGGGGATGGCATTTCCAACATCAGCTAACAGCCACTGTTATAGTCTGTTTCTGTTTAATGTGGCTGTACTTGTGTGCACATGTGTGTGTGTGTGTACATGCAACAGGTAGTCTATGTGTACCACTATGCCAACACCTAATTCACAGGCAACCTCCCTGCCAAGCCAGGTCATGTCAATAGCCAAGAAAAAAGGTGGGCAGATGACTGCCATCCAGGGCAGCAAGTAGGGTTGGCACATGGCCAGCGCTGATTAAAACCACTCTCCCCAGTCATTAGGAATATAGGTCATCTCTATCCATCCCCACTGCCAGGCAAACGAAATGGGTGGGGAGTGCTGGCACAAACACTGGATTTTCAGCACCAGGAGAGCAGCAAGAACAGATGGGCAGCTTTCTGGGAGGCTAAGGCGGGAGTAGAATTAGAGGCAACCCAATTTGTCTACCAACTGGGCCAAAAGAAAGAAGAGAGGAGTATCCAAAGCAAACTCAATTGATCTTGGAAGGAGCATCTCTGGAAAACATCAAAGGTTATCCAATACAATGGATCCTTGGTATCTGCTGGTGTTTAGTACCCAACCGTGCATATGCAAATCCACTCTGTGAATGCTCAATTTTCATTATATAGACAGGTGTAGTAGAATAGCGTCCCTTTATATATAATAGCAAAACCAAGTTTGCTTTTGGGAATTAAAAAAAAAAGATTTTCAAGGCATGGATTGCTGAATATGTGAATACAGAATCCATGGCTATGGCAGTCTGTTCCTTTCTCCAATTCTTTAATATTTCAGTAAAATGTGAGGTTAGTTGATACACAGAATTAGAGACAGGATGAAATATACAATTCATTTCAGTAGTTCTTGGAACAGTTTTACTTATTTCCAATCAAAAAACACGTCACAAGACCAGCACTAACACACAAAATATAAGTACAGTAATTTTCAGAACTTAATAGTCTCTTAGAGCTTTATCCCTTCACTATTATCCTGACCCCTCAGTCAGCATTAGTACACTGTCTTTGAGAGTACTAACTCAAGCAAACACTCCTTTTGATTTCTTCCCTGGAAAGAAATCACAGAAAGATGCACAGAAAGACTTTTTTGTAGTGATATTTTATCTTGTTCTTGTAGTGAATTCCACAACAAAACAGGCAAGACCAATTCCATGGGTCTTACCTACCTTCTGAGTTAGAAAAGTACAAAATCAAAGTCAGCTTTCCTCAAACCAGGAATCTCCATGTGTGTCAAATGACAATTACCATCATCCACAGCCAGCATGGCCAAAGATTATGCTATTGTGATCCTATACAACAGGAGAGGAATGGATCGAATAATGCAGTTGCCAGAGATCTGCTTTAGGGAAATGATGGGTTCTACCACTGATTTTTGGGCCAATGCCAATGGTGGCTCAGATATCCTCTCTTGGATTGCCCTTTAAGTCCTCTCAACATCTGCATTTGAATGAATGATGTGTCAACTATGAATGGACCTTAGGTTATCTCCCAGTTCTCAGAAATATATTTTGGATATAGACTTTGGAAGTTGATAATATTTCCAGAATTGTTTGGCACAACATGCCTTCTGAATCTATGATAGCAGTTGACCGTGACTCCATGATGAAATCTCAGTTCTTTTCAGTGCTAATGAAGTGAGATGTCTGAAATAGTAAGAAAGGAAAGAGAGAGGCTTTGGTGAACATGCTTTTCCTGAATTGCAATTAACCTTACCATGTATTCAGGGTTGATAGACAATGGCTTTTGGTCAAAGATGTAGCCAGTGGTAACTCAAAATACTTCTAATGGATAGTTGGGCTATCTCTGTTTGCACATGAGACAGAGCCAATAGGAATAGCAATGGGTAGAGGAAACTTTGGTGGAATCAGTGGTTAGTTCACAGAAAGCCAAAGATTAATGCTTTTATTGGAAAATCAAACCGCAATGAGTCGCCCTTGGGCTGAGAATTGCGGTATATAAGCGCAGTAAATAAATAAATAAATAAATAAACCTGCTTAGAAACCTATGCTGGAATCCAATGCACATGTTATATTGTTGATGTTATTTGCAACTGCTGAATTCTTGCTTTCCTGCTGCTTTCCATTTTACCAGTCATTACCATTTTTCCCATGAGTCATGTTGGTCCCATCCACACTGCCATATAATGCAGTTCATAATGTAGTTTGCATTGAACTGCATTATGTGAGTCTACACTGCCATATAATGCAGTTCAATGCAGTCAAACTGTGTTATAAAACTGCATTATATTGCAGTTTAGATGGGGTTGCTGTCTTCTGTTTACTTAGGAATAAATCTGATTAAACTTAGTAATTGCGTTGTAAATCTCATAAAGCTAAAGAGTGTTGATTGTTATTTAGCAAAAGCAAATAAAAGCAGGCTGCTCATTCTCATGGAAGCTCTGTCACCTTTATTGTTCATATTCCATTACAAAGGAAAACAAAAAAATTTCTTTGTCTCACAGAGCTTCATAAAAGACTAGCCCCTGTCTGCGGATGCCTATTCAATGCAGGCAACTGAAGCTGTGAGAGCTAGGATAGTGTAGTAGTTTGTGCACTGGAGATCAAAATTGAAATCCACGCTCAGCCAGGGAAACTCGCTGTGTGATCTTGGTCCAAGTCACACACTCTCAGCTATAGGGGAAGAAAAGGCACCCCCGCCCCCCCCAACAAATCTTACCAAGAAAAAAGCATAGTAAGTTTGCCTTAAGTTGGAAACCACTCACAGTGAACACAACACCAACAATTAGACCTGTATGTATTTGTTTGTATTACTTTCGCCATATTCAAATGTATGCAGCAAAAATCCAACAATCACTTCTGTAAAGAGAACAAGAGCATACCCAAAGCTTGAGAAAGAACCTTTTCTAGACTATAGTTCCCAGATTACCCCAATCAGTAGTTGGGCTGATCTGAGAAATTTTAGGAACTGTTGAATTCACACACACATTTCAAAGCATCGCTTCTTCCCATCTGTTATTCACCTGCAGTACTGACTCTCCAAAGTCATTGAATCTCATTCAGAGGTTCAGAAGTTGTGCATCCAAATCACCCTTTTCCATAGCTGCTTCTCTCTAACAAAAGTCGGCAACTGGGTTTGCACACGAACAAAATAGAATCATTGTCTCTTAGGCAACGCAGCACAGTTGATAAAACAGCCAAGTTTAATTTTTCATGGTTCAGAATTATGGATTCTGCAAATTTTGATGGACTCTGCTTCTTTAAAAAATACTCTGTGATCAACAGATGACAGGTTTTGCCAGAATATGCAAATATGTGGCCAAAACGGGATGTTTCTCTTCATGCTTAGGCTGTCAAAAGTTAACTTTGGACTCCAATTTTTAAAAACCTTTAGTTAGAAGAGTCTGTGAGGTGCAGTTCCAAAGTAACTTCCTCACACTCTAGATTTAGGCCATGTGGCTCTTATAGGCACAGAATTTAAAAGGAAGAAAAACCAAGGGGGAAAAACTTTTCCAAAAAGAGATGTTGATATGTTCAGTTAGGGAATTTGGAGGCTAACTCTGCAAAAGATTTGCTTATCCATACAAAACCCATGCAGTAAGAAGAGGAAGCAGACATGCTCTTCCCCAAAGGCACGTCTTTGTATGTGGGCGCATGTGCATGTATCTTTTTATATATAGTGTTGTTGTGTGCCTTCAGGTTATTTCAGATTTGCGTGACCTTATCATGAGGTTTTCTTGATCAGACCTGTTCAGAGAGGGTTTGTTTTTGTGTTCCTCAGAGTGTGAGAGAGTGAGATTTGCCCAAGGTCCATGACTGAAGTTGCACATTAATTCCGGCTGTTAGGAATTGTGGGAGTTGAAGTACAAAATACCTGGAGGGCTGAAGTTTGCGCATGCCTGGTGCAGCTGCACCCTTGAAAATGAGGAGGCAAAACGTTCCAATTTCTGGGTTGTAGGTTTTTCGGGCTGAATGGTCATGTTCTAGAAGTTCTAGTTTCTGATTTCTACTTTTTAGAAAATTTAATTTCTGGTTTCTAAAAATGAATTTCCAAACAAAATCCTGAATTTCTAAAATGACATGGAAATGAGCTGATCAATTTCAGGAAAAGGAACAAAGTGGCTGAGATAACAGGGGAGATCCAATAGTACCAAAACCAGCCATATTGCCTAAGAATCAAACCTGAAATCAGGGTAAGTAGCATTGTCAGCCTATCTTAAACAGTTTCTTTTTGGGAAGCATAAGTAAGAAAACAAAAGCTGATGTTTCTTGCTGATATGGGATGCCAGTTCGGTTGATGTTCAGCAAAGTCTAGTTTAAGTAAACTTATTCCTAACCCTATCCTATAGCGATTCCACCGACTATATCCATGACATTGTGGGAAGCCTCTTGGGCAGGAATCAAGGAAATCCTAAACCATTTTGAATCAGATGCACTCAGTCAGTACACAATAGTTGTAAACAACAACAAAAAAGGAGGACCACAGGTCTTTTGAACCTGTTCAGGCCCCAAGATCAGCTGGGGAGGCCATCCTCTTGGTCCCACCTGACAAATGAGATGTTCTTGGTAGTGCCCCCCCCCCCAATTCTGGAATGCCCTCCCCTAGGAAATTAGACAAGGACCCACTCTTACAACTTTTAGGAAAGAGTTGAAAACCTGATTATTTAAATAGGCTTTTGATCACGGCTAAGATTATCAGCCATCTTATCAGACAGGATTTTAAATGGTTCTAGAACTAGAATTTACAATGCTGGATACCCGATCATAGGAATTGGCTGGTTTTAAACTGGAGTTGGAGTCCAAAACACATGGAGAGCCGAAGTTTGTCCAAGCTTGTCCCAAGTCCTGGTTGGCTATATGGGTTAAATCAGACATGGACAAACTTCAGCCCTCCAGCAGTTTTGGACCCAGCAGTCTTTAAGTCAGGCATGGGCTTTCCAGCAACCTACTGGGAGTTGTGGGAGTTGGAGTCCAAAACACATGGAGAGCCGAAGTTTGTCCAAGCTTGTCCTAAGTGTTTTGGACTCCAACTCCCACAACTCCCAGTAGGTTGCTGGAAAGCCCATGCCTGACCTAAAGACTGCTGGGTTCAAAACTGCTGGAGGGCCAAATTTTTCCCCTGCCTGATTTAAGCCATATAGCCAACGAGGACCTAGAACAGGCTTGGGACTGTTTAGGACTCCAACTCCCACAGCTCCAGGTTTTGTTGTTGTTCATTCGTTCAGTCGTTTCCGACACTTTGTGACTTCATGGACCAGCCTGCGTCAGAGCTCCCTGTCGGTCGTCGCCACCCTCAGCTCCTTCAAGGTCAATCCAGTCACTTCAAGGAAACCATCCCTCTATCTTGCCCTTGGTCTGCCCCTCTTCCCTTTTCCTTCCATTTTCCCCAGCATAATTGTCTTCTTTACGCTTTCCTTTCTTCTCATAATGTGGCCAAAGTATTGCATCTTTGCCTCTACTATTTTTCCCTCCATAGCCAACCAGGATCTAGAACAGCCTTGGACAAACTTCGTCCCTCCAGGTTTTTTGGACTCCAACTCCCATGGCTCCCCGTAGGTTGCTGGAAAGCTCCTGCCTGACCTAAAGACTGCTGGGTTCAAAACTGCTGGAGGGCCGAAGTTTGCCCATGCCTGATTTAAGCCATATAGCCAACCAGGATCTAGAGCAGCCTTGGACAAACCGTCTCTCCAGGTGTTTTGGACTTCAACTCAGTAGGTTGCTGGAAAGCTCCTGCCTGACCTAAAGACTGCTGGTTCCTCCTAAGAGCAGGTGCAGCCTTGGAAAGGATTGCAGGTGGGGCGGGTGGGTGTCTCTTACCCGAGATGTTCTCCTTGAGCTTCTCGGCGCCATACTGGTGGTGGGGATGGTGGTGGTGCTGGGCAGGAGGGTGGTGGTGGTGGTGGTGCGGAGGGTGGGCCTGGGGCTGGTGCTGGAGGAAGGGCAGGTGAGCCGGCAAGAGGCAGTGCGCCCCGGAGGAAGGCGGAGGGGTGGCGAAGCCGCAGAGGAACCCCAAACCCAAGGGCAAGGGCGCCCCGCTTCCTCCCCCTCCTCCTCCTCCGAGTCCAGCCACTGCTGCCGCCGCCCCTCCACTTTCGCAGCCCGAGGCGGCCGGGGGCTGCAGCTCCGCCTCCAGGCCCAACAGGTCGGTGATGGCGAAGCCGCGCGTGGAGCGCAAGGGCCCTCCAGCGGGGCTGCCCATGCGCGCCTTCTCGTTGCCGCCACCTCCTCCGCCGCTGGGCGCCAAGACTTTCCCCTTGGCTTTGCCCTCCACTTGGGTCTCCTCGCGGCCCGTCATGGCTGCTGGCACAACAACGCGCTCAACCTTTCGCCCGCGGGCCCGAAGCGGACTAGGAAAGCGAGCCGGCTCGCGGGCGGCTTTTATACCCCGCGCCTCGAGACCCAGCAGCCAATCAGCGCCCGGGAAAAAAGAGGCGCGCGAGTGGCGGTTGGTGGTGGCACGCGGGCGAGGGGGGGGGGGGAGAGGGAGAGAGAGGAGGGAAAAGGGCTGCCAACTTTTGTTGTTGTTCATTCGTTCAGTCGTCTCCGACTCTTCGTGACCTCATGGACCAGCCCACGCCAGAGCTCCCTGTCGGCCGTTACCACCCCCAGCTCCCTCAAGGTCAGTCCAGTCACTTCAAGAATGCCATCCATCCATCTTGCCCTTGGTCGGCCCCTCTTCCTTTTGCCTTCCACTTTCCCCAGCATAATTGTCTTCTCTAGGCTTTGCTGTCTCCTCATGATGTGGCCAAAGTACTTCAACTTTCTCTCTAGTATCCTTCCCTCCAGTGAGCAGTCGGGCTTTATTTCCTGGAGGATGGACTGGTTGGATCTTCTCGCAGTCCAAGGCACTCTCAGAACTTTCCTCCAACACCACAGCTCAAAAGCATCGATCTTCCTTCGCTCAGCCTTGCCTAAGGTCCAGCTCTCACATCCGTAGGTTACTACAGGGAATACCATGGCTTTGACTAGGCCAACTTATTACCTCAGAGAAATAACAACAACAACAATATATTGTCGAAGCCATTGAAATCCACAAGCATATGGACAATTTCAACAGAAAGGGGGAAACCATGAAAATGAACAAAATCTGGCTACCAGTATTTAAAAAACTCTAAAATTACAACAGAGAGGAAACAATCAAGGACATCTAATCACCTCTCAATAAAAGATTGCCCCAGGCACTGCCAGGCCATCAAATGCTACTCAATTTGGTCGCCTTGGTGGATGACCTTCTAGAGAGCTGGACAGGGGGAGTGTGACTCTGTTGGTTCTCTTGGACATCTCAGCGGCTTTCGATACCATCGATCATGGTATCCTTCTGGGACAACTCTCTGGGATGGGTCTCGGGGGCACGGTTCTGTTGTGGCTCCGATCCTTCCTGGAGGGTCGATCCCAGATGGTGAAGCTGGGAGATGCCTGCTCGGACCCCTGGCCTTTGACCTGTGGGGTCCCGCAAGGCTCTATTCTGTCTCCCATGCTCTTTAACATCTACATGAAACCGCTGGGAGAGGTCATCCGGAGTTTTGGAGTTAGGTGCCATCTCTACGCAGATGACACACGACTCTACTACTCTTTTCCACCTAATTGCAAGGAGGCCTCTCGGGTGTAGGACGAGTGCCTGGCCGCTGTGTCTATCTGGATGAGGACGAACAAGCTGAAGATCAATCCCGACAAGACAGAGGTCCTTCTGGTCGATCGTAAACCTGACCGGGGTATAGGGTGGCAACCTGTGCTGGACGGGGTACACTCCCCCTGAAGTCACAGGTCCGCAGTTTGGGAGTCCTCTTAGATTCAACGCTTACGCTTGAGGCTCAGGCGTCGGCGGTGTCTGGGAGGGCTTTCACACAACTGAGACTCGTGCGCCAACTGCGACTGTACCTCGCGAAGGCGGATCTGGCCAGAGTGGTCCATGCCTTGGTCACCTCCAGATTGGATTACTGCAATGCGCTCTACGTGGGGCTGCCCTTGAAGACGGCTCGGAAGCTCCAACTGGTCCAACGATCAGCAGCCAGGATGCTAACTGGGGCCCCTTACAGAGAGAGGTCAACCCTCCTGTTCAAGGAGCTCCACTGGCTGCCGTTTATCTACCGAGCCCAATTTAAGGTGCAGGTGCTTACCTACAAAGCCCTGAACGGTTTGGGACCAGCCTACCTGCGTGATCGCATCTCCGTCTACGAACCCACACGCGCACTTCGTTCATCTGGAGAGGCCCTGCTCGTGATCCCGCCTGCGTCGCAAGCGCGTTTGGTGGGGACACGGGACAGGGCCTTTTCCGTGGTGGCCCCCCAACTCTGGAACACCCTCCCCAAATATCTTAGACAGGCCCCTACGTTGACAGTCTTCAGAAAGAACTTGAAGACCTGGCTGTTCCGATGTGCCTTCTCTAAATAGGGAATCTCCAATACCAAGTCCCATAAGCACTTTATTAGAATTATGATTGCCGCACACTGCACACTGCACTTGCCCTATAAGCCTTACATATTACCTGTCACATCAGCACTTTTAATCCTGTACCCTTTACTCTGGCCTGGCCCAGTTTTACTGTGTTTTGGTGTATTGTTCATTGCTTGTTGTTTTTTTGTTTTAATATTGCTTTAACTGTTTTTAATTTGCTTTAGGTGTATTGTTATGTTTGTGTATTGAGGCCTTGGCCTTTGTAAGCCACATCGAGTCCTTCAGGAGATGCTAGCGGGGTACAAATAAAGTTTAATAATAATAATAATAATAATAATAATAATAATAATAATAATAAAATTACAACAGCAAAACAACAGAGAGGAAACAATCAAGGACATCTAATCGCCTCTCAATAAAAGATTGCCCCAGGCACTGCCAGGCCATCAAATGCTAATCAAGGTGGTCAGTTGAAACATTCGCACCTAGCTCCAACAGACTTCTTTGTCCCACTCTGGTCTTTCCACAGATATATAAACCCATTTTCCTAGTTCCAACAGACCTCACTACCTCTGAGGATGCTTGCCATAGATGAAGGCGAAACGTCAGGAGAGAATGTCTCTAGAACATGGCCATATAGCTAAAAAAACAACAACCCAACAACAACAACAATAGATGTTTCGGGGGGGGGGGGAGAAGATAGGAAGGGAAAGAGGCTTCCAACTTGTTTCTACCTCAGAGAAATAACAACAACAAAAATAATAATAGATGTTTCCAGGGGGGAAGAGAGGATAGGAAAGGAAAGAGGCTTCCAACTTGTTTCTACCTCAGAGAAATAACAATAATAGGTGTTTTCAGGGGGAAAGAGAGGAAACAAAGGGAATGGGGCTTCCAACTTGTTTCTACCTCAGAGAAATAAGAATAACAACAACAATAATAGATGTTTTCAGGGGGTAGGAGAAGATAGGAAGGGAAAGGGGCTTCCAACTTGTTTCTACCTCAGAGAAATAACAACAACAGCAACAATATATTGTCGAAGCCATTGAAATCCACAAGCATGTGGACAATTTCAACAGAAAGGAGGAAACCATGAAAATGAACAAAATCTGGCTACCAGTATTTAAAAAACTCTAAAATTACAACAGCAAAACAACAGAGAGGAAACAATCAAGGACATCTAATCACCTCTCAACAAAAGATTGCCCCAGGCACTGCCAGGCCATCAAATGCTAATCAAGGTGGTCAGTTGAAACATTCACGCCTAGCTCCAACAGACAAGAGTCCTTTGTCCCACCCTGGTCATTCCACAGATATATAAACCCATTTTCCTAGTTCCAACAGACCTCACTATCTCTGAGGATGCTTACCATAGATGCAGGCAAAACGTCAGGAGAGAATGCCTCTAGAACATGGCCATATAGCCCCAAAAAAAACCTACAACAACCCAACAACAACAACAATAGATGTTTGGGAGGGGAGAAGATAGGAAGGGAAAGAGGCTTCCAACTTGTTTCTGTCTCAGAGAAATAACAACAATGATAATAATAGGTGTTTTCAGCAGGAAGGAGAGGATAGGAAGGGAAAGAGGCTTCCAACTTGTTTCTACCTCAGAGAAATAACAACAACAACAACAACAACAACAACAATAGATGTTTTCAGGGGAGAAGAGAGAATAGGAAGGGAAAGAGGCTTCCAACTTGTTTCTACCTCAGAGAAATAACAACAACAACAACAACAACAACAACAATTTATTTGTCATGTCAGAGCAGCCAGTCCATTATATTACATTTCTAACAGAACAAAGCAAACAGAAAAATACACAACTTGTGAGTTTGGTAGCGTGGTTAAATGTCCTTTGACCAGTATCTGGCCACTTGGAGTGCTTCTGGTGTTGCTGCAAGAAGGTCCTCCATTGTTCCAGCGAGTGTCTCTGTAGATCTTAGAAAACTATTTCTAGATTTAAGTCGTTGACGTGCTGCCTGATACCCAAACAGGGGATGAGCTGGAGATGTCTCTGCCTTGGTCCTTTCACTATTGGCTGCTACTTCCCGGCGGATGTCAGGTGGTGCAATACCGGCTAAGCAGTGTAATTTCTCCAGTGGTGTAGGGCGCAGACACCCGTGATAATGCAGCATGTCTCATTAAGAGCCACATCCACTGTTTTAGTGTGGTGAGATGTGTTCCACACTGGGCATGCATACTCAGCAGCAGAGTAGCATAGCGCAAGGGCAGATGTCTTCACTGTGTCTGGTTGTGATCCCCAGGTTGCGCCAGTCAGCTTTCATATGATATTGTTTCTAGCACCCACTTTTTGCTTGATGTTCAGGCAGTGCTTCTTGTAGGTCAGAGCACGGTCCAGAGTGACTCCCAGGTATTTGGGTGCGCTGCAATGCTCCAGTGGGATTCCTCCCCAGGTGATCCTCAGAGCTCAGGATGCTTGTCTGTTCTTAAGGAGAAAAGCACATGTCTGTGTTTTAGATGGGTTAGGGATCAGCTGGTTTTTTCCTGTAATAGGCAGTAAGAACACCTAAAGCTTCAGAGAGCTTCTGTTCAACCATTTCAAAGCTCCCTGCTTGGGTGGAGATGGCACGGTTATCAGCATAGAGCAAACTCTGTCCCTTCTGGCAGATCATTTGTGTAAATATTAAACATTGGTGGAGCAAGCACACTTCCCTGAACCAGGCCATTCCTCTGTTTTCACCATCCACTTTTCTGACCCTGGAATCCATTTAAAAGATGCTTTCAGGGGGGAAGAGAGGATAGGAAGGGAAAGAGGCTTCCAACTTGTTTCTGCCTCAGAGAAATAACAACAACAACATCATCAACAACAACAATAATAGATGTTTTCAGGGGGGAAGAGAGGATACCAAGGGAAAGAGGCTTCCAACTTGTTTCTACCTCAGAGAAATAACAACAACAACAACATCAACAACAACAACAATAATAGATGTTTTCTGGGGGGAAGAGAGGATAG